AGGAACTGTCATTATCACTGGGTTATTAGGTACTCTGATGGAGAAAGGAAGAACAATCTTTAAGTAATAAAACACTTCCCTTCAATTAAAAATAAAAAAAAAGTGTGTTGATGGATACTGGATACTTAATAACATAACTTAATAACTACACCATAAAGACATAGATTCACTCCCAAAAAGCCCACATTAAATTCATAATCTCAAAAGTTCCCATTACAATTAATGGCAAGATCACAGCCTTAGTCCAGAGATAGTTCTATTACAAAATTTGAAGTCTGAGGTGGCTATGTTCAAAAGTCAGATACTGAAAATTATATTCAATAATTCCAGGCTAATCTAAATGACCTTGGTACTAGTCACTGCTCTAGTTAAAAATAAAGTATGCAAAGAAAAGGCATTCTGATAAGAGAAATGTAGTCTCAGTTCAGAACACTGTCTTTGCTAGTCTACCGCATACTTGCTCAGGAGTTAGAAGCCCTAGGATCAATTGCTCTCCAATTCCCAGGGGAAAGATGCACCACTAATTGTCTAGGTATCAATGGATTGCTACAGCAGCCTAAAGAAGTTGCCACATTCTCTTTCTTGAAAACATTTACTTTGCTCGGATATCTAACTAAAGGAGCTGTTTCGTGGCTATGAATCCAGACTGCAGAGAGGCATCTAGGAAACTTCATGGCACTTCCAGAGAGTACCTGGCTCAGCATACAAGTGAATTCTGTTCTCAGATGTAACTCTCCCCTTACACTGCATAAGGAAAAGAGGTGACTGCTTGAAGTTACGCAGCAGGGTATCCAATAGCAGAAACTAGCATTGTTCCCTGCGTGGCTAATGGAGAGAAAGACCTAATGAGGCCTGTGCTCTAAATCACTGTCTGGTAAGGTGCCTACCTTTTGCCATTGATTAGATGGAGAGTTCAGAGTTTCCATTACCTCAGAGATATAATATAGTTGATGAACCTCAATTATTACTGAATACTAGGGAGTGTGAATAGCTTGCATCTCTCCTTTTAAGTCTAACTTCCCCTTGTGGATTTAACCCTTTGGTTTTAGCAAGAAAAAGTCAGATTTAAGATTATTTCTGCTTTTTCTTTCTTTTTTTTTTTTCCCCTCCCAGCAAATGCCAAGAGATTAATATGTTATGAAGGTCTCTTAGGACAGAAGTATGCTATTCAATGTTTGAAAGCAATCCATATCTAAATCCTGATTGAAAATAGCAAAATTACTCTGCTGAAAACTAACATGTCACGCTAGCCAAGATATTCCAAGGTGATTAAATTTTTACCTCTAGGGAAATCAAAGATTAATATAGAGATAAGAAGCTATTTTTCTAAAAGAGTGATGTCTTGCTTACAGCCAACCAGTCATTGACAGGTGAACCTGAATATTGTGACAATATTTAAAAGATAGTAACTTTAAAAATATAATTGCACACATAATTAAATGGTTTAGGGTTTTTTTGCACCTTCTGTCTGTCTTACTCTAAAGTGCGTCCTGCTCTGGCAACTTAAATTACAATTTATTAAACTTCTATAAGTAATTTAATTTTTTGTTTAGTATATGAATTGGAACACTAAGAATATGCTTATATCTGATCAGTTTTCAATAAGCAGAAATTAGAAAAGTACTTAAGTCTCAACTATTCATTTTACTTTCAACCCACTAATCCATTAATTACAAGTAGTTTGAACACATACTTCATGCTCAGCAAGAATGGTATGTAAGTTGTAGCATTTTACTATGGCTGCACTGACTTAAATGCGAGAATCTCGCACACTAAAACTGTTACTCAAACTTGGTTAATAGTTTTATATTGATACTTAACTGCAATTTCCAAAGAACCTCCTTGATCTCTTTCTTTACAATAACTAGATGTAAAAAAAAGTGACAATACTATGGGCTTTTTTGTAACGGAAAGCAAGACCTCTCCATGAATAAAAGGATTCCAACACTCAAGGCATTATTTATTTTGAGATAACTGGAAAAGAAAAATTAACTATGCATCCATAACAACTATGCATGACCTTCAAAAATCACTGGCAGACCAGGAATTAATAACCAGAACACATTCCCTGAACAGTGCAACTATTTGGATTAATTGCACTAAGAAACTTAATTTTGAAGGATTTGGGAATGTTTTTGCAAGGTTTAGGAAGGATTTCATTGGGATTACAGGATGAGCAATTTTAAGTGTGCTTAACTGTTCACATTAACTCTCTAGGCAACCACGAAACAGATCAGTCATCCACTGCTTATTAATTCTTATCCAAGATTTTGTTGTCATAAAGGGAGTATATTTATAATTCACTGTATACTTTAACCAGCCAGCAGGAAAAAACCTGTGCCTTAGTAAGAATCTCAATGCTGATGTTGTTCTTCAGACTGTTGGATTAGAACAGGGTGTGCTTGTACTCTGCATATTTCTGTTCTCTTGTGTTGCTTTCAGAGAAGTGTAACTTTACTGTTTCATCTAAAACAATATTCCATTTAAATTGGTCTATATTTGCCAACACCTTTATTCAAAGCTCTGTTAAGTGCAATTTTAACTTAGGTATTTAAACTGAGTATCAACGTCCTAAGACTAAGATATTAATTCAAGGGAGAAAATGTGCATAAAACAATAAGTTTTAGCAGTTGGATGTCAGTAGCTCTACTTGTGCAAAATAACCACAACAATTTTATGCCAAATGTCCTGCAACATGAACTGGTATGAAAAGCCAAGCAATTAGGTCTTCTACATAAATTCTAGAAAATTTAAATTAAAAAAAAGGTTTGTATACTTTTCATAATCCTGGGAAACCTGAAGTTTTGGACAGAAATGTACTTTTTTTTTTTAAATTATTTTTTTTTAATTATTTTTTTTCTAATGAGATCACAACTGCAGTAATAGACCAAAATGCGTGCCCAGTTCTGAGCATGCTGTTCTATTGTAGGCTGTAATCTGAATGTAAATATTGCAAATACACACACAAAAAAAATCAAAAAATGGGGCCTGCGAACACCATTGGGAAAAACAACAGACGCAGTTTTGCACAGAGCTACAATAACAGGGGACAAATTTATGAACATATATAGATTTACTCAATTTCTGTTTTAAAAATAGAATCTGCCTTTCACTGTAGGTAACTTGTCTTATTTGCTACATCAACTATCATTGTACAGAGGAATGCTCTGATTTTTTTGATGTAAAGGCAAACAGGAAGTAAAAAAATAGTCAGATATTAAACTTATACTTGAATGAGATTAATTTGCTTGTTTGTTCTTGAAACACACATCTTTAATTACATGTGGGAGATGTTCTTATGGACATTGGATTTTTCAAAATCAAAATAAGGGGTGTACAATTATTGATGGAATTACCTGCCAGGGCATTGTAAATAAATTTGATGAAAACTTTTATTTTGTAAGTAATATAACTACCTCTTTTTAAAACTTGCATCTTCCAAAATATCTTCCCCTGTGACCTGGGAACTGCAGTGTTGAAACTGAATGGCAGCAACTGAGATTTCCTGACTCAAGGAAATATTGTCACAAAAGCAGATAAGACTATTCTACTTGGAATGCTGTAAAACACAGTTATATATTTCTCTCTTGGCTGCACTACTATATCATTAAAAAACTGCATCAGCAATAATTTTGCCCAAAAACTGTTTTTCAGCTGTTGTCATTTAGGTACTTTTACCTAAAAACCATCCTGATTTAGAGTTCAGCACTGGGCATTTGTTTCAGATTAGAACTTGTCAGATTGCTATCTCTTACAGTGCTAATACTTCTCTTCCCTTTGTTGTAAATATATTCTTAAATTTTATTGAAGCAACTAAACTCCCACATTTTTATCAACCATTTTAACATGAAGCTCACCAACAATAGTTTGTATGTATCTGGAACTCAACTTTGAGTGGAATAAAAGTGCATGCAAAAGGTTAATTACTGAAGAATCTCTGGTTAAAATTCATTTACATGAGTGAAAAAATGGCTAGAGGACCTAATTAATGGTTACTATTGGAGCTTCTGATGCATCTGCAGAATTAGATGTGGAACTGAAAATCTCATCTACTGAAAAACATCCAGTTATGAAAACCCTTATTATGAAAAATATTATGTTTGATAGCCAAGTAACAGGAACTATTGTCTGTATTTTTAAGGTGCTTAGATATGAATATAAAACCCCAAGTTATGTACCAATTTCTATTTTGAAGAACAGTAAGGCAGGACTTAAGGGCAGCAGAAAAATTAGTTTGTGTTTTGCATACCATTTTTTAACATTGGTGGTTTCTCACCGGTTAGCTTAATTCTCTGGCTGGCAATTGTCTCATGTTTTAATTTCGAATGATCAGAGCAAAAAATTCACTTAAAGAAAAAAGGCATTTGCAGCAAGGGTAGCATACCCAAACTTTGGTGGAACGTGTGAATTAAGTTTTATTTCGTAATTTAGCCTGATTTAGCCACTTCCTTTCAGGTAAAAAAAAAAAAAAAAGAAAAAAGAAAAAAGAAAAAAGTTATTATTTTAGGAATAAACACATTTTGATTGAACCCAGATAAAAGATTGGATAATGACGTTTTATATAAGAAATAACACTGAGAGCTTTCACCAGCATGAGTACACATTATGGGGCATCAGTGTCTAATGTTCTACCTTATACTTTAAGTTGCCTCTAATTTGTTAGAGCTCGTAGAGCTTATTACGCCTATTCTTGCTTCAAGTGCAGTAGGGAAAGGAGCATGTTTCTTGTGTAAAGCTGGACTGACTGCAAAAACACATTACATACAAAGACTGAAACTAAACCCTAATTGCGCATCAAGTCTTAAAGGAAGATGCACTCGTGTGAGTGTTTCAGGAAGGCTGCAAGAGCCAATGAGGTTATCCGAGAGCGCCACAAAGCCACGCTTCCGCAGGACGCGGACAGGATGGGAGGCGCTATCTCCGCGGCGCGGAGGCGGCGCCGCCCCGGGCGAGCGGGAGATTCGAAGGGAGGCGGCGGCGGAGAGCGGGGAGGGGCGGCCATGGTGGAGGGCCCGGGCTGTGCCCTCTGCGGGGAGCGCCTGCGGGCGCGGCTGCGGCGGGGCCAGGCCGTGCGGAGAACGCGGGGCGGCGCCGTGAGTGACGGGCCGGGGCCGGGGCCGGGGCCGGGGTGGGGAGCGGCTGGGAGCGGCTGGGCAGCCGGGGCAGCGCCGCCGGGGCAGCGCTTGAGCTCGCAGCGCTTGAGCTCCTTGAGGAGAGCGCAGCGCAGGGGTCTTGGTTAGTGCCTCCCCGCCCGTCCCGTGACAAAATACTGTCTCTGTTCTTCCTCTGAATCATAAAATATTCCTCTCGTCAACATATAGTAAATAAACAGGCCTTAGCAGGTCTGAAGCTGATGCTGAATGCTGGCTTGCCGAAACGGGAGCTTTAGGAAATTGATCGCTCCTGCTCGCTTAGGTGAACTTCAGAATATCGTTTTGCCTCAGGAAACCTGAAATGCAAGGAAAGTTACCGCTAATCTTAATTTTTTTTATAATGGCTTAAGTCTTTGCACGTGCTAGATGATCTTTAAGGTCCCCTTCCAACCCAAAACATTCTGTGGTTCTAGTCTGAATAAAACACAAGGGAGAAAAGTACATGTTTCACAGATTTCACAGAATATTCTAAGTTGGAAGAGACCCTCAAAGATTGAGTCCAACTCATAAGTGAATGGCCCATACAGGGATCAAAACCACAGCCTTGGTGTTATTAGCACCATGTTGACCTGCAGAAAAGGAGCTTTTACTTCTATAATTAATTTTTTAAAGTAATTCTAATTGGACCAAGTATTTAAATAAAGGGTGTGACATTAGCTTTCAATGTGCACAATATGTTGTTTTCCTAGTAGCTTTTATCCTTTTTGTTGACAGCATGAAATAATTCACTAGTATAAAACTGCTGGGGTACCTTCTAGTAGGTGAAGATGTCAGGATGTCAGTAAGCAGGCCTTGGCTGATAAGCTGTGAAGGTATGGTCCTCTCGTTTTGATTACAGAGGTAGCTAGGGTATTTTTTTTCATGTCTGGTTTTGCTTACCTGTGAAAAATTGTGTGTTGCTTGTGGCCCAAGTAAGTATATTGGATGCCTCCAGACAGACAGGTGAGGAATTTTTCCCCATCTTCAGTGTATATAAGGAGTTTGTGATTAAGGCACGATAAGATAGTACTTCAATTAAATAACAATTTATGGAAGAACGTGGTTGAAGATATGTCTGTCTAAGGTGTGTCTAAGGTGTGTTAAAGATTAGTCTTTGTAGGTTTATATCTTTCAGGACTAAGCTTTTTGAAGTAAGGAGTTATGTTCCTGAGGTTTCAAAAAAGAAATCTCATTGCCCTAAATAAACTCATGTTCCTAACTTTGTACAGTAAAAGTCACCTCAGGGCAGACTCTATTGATTGGCAAATGATCATCCTAAGGGTCTTGTCCTCTAGTGGTGTCCCCCTTGCTGTTCACTTGCTTCTGAGATTAGACTTTAAACTAGTAGGAGGAGAAAAATATCTCTGTGGGCTCAGTGAAGGTTTTTCTGTGAAAATATGAAACAGTGTTTACTGTTTCCCATGTGAAACACTGAAAGCATATTATCAGCATTTGGAGAAGGATATACAGCTGCAAATAGCAGAATTTACACTCTTACATGGTTTTAATATTCATACTGTATCTGTTTAGTTTACACCAGCCTGAGACTCTTACTGTAAATTTATGACTTGAAGGAAAAGGCATAAAATACTCTGAAAAAAAAGATGTACTGTTTCAATTAGGAAAAAAATTGAGCTAAGTTATGATAGCATTAGCAATAGCGACTGCTTCCTGGGTTAATAGTCCCATTGTTTTTGGTAGAATTGCTTAAAGAGAAAATAGTTAATGTTGTCCGAGTTGGAAAATTAGTTCATACATCTGCTTGCTGAATGTGTACTCATGCTAGAATCAAAGCAGTATAAATTCTCTTCAATCTTTGTGCGTGTGCATGTACTCATTTTACAGACTGCTGCAAGTGAGGAGAGAATCTCTGGTCACGATTTCCTTGTTGGACACATTTACAGGGGTGTGGAGACACTGGGAAAGGAACTTTTTATGTATTTTGATCAGAAAGCTTTGAGGTAAGAAATGAGAAAAAGGCTTCCTATGCATTCAGACTGATTGTATTTGGTAGGTTATCTTGTTTTTGCTAATGTCAGTTTCAAGGATTTGAAAGCATTATGGAGAAACTTCTCATCAGCCTCTTTGCAATGCTGGAACTACTGATATAGTTACATGTTCAGGTAATTTACTGCTTTTCTCTTAGTCTAAGATTTCCTGAAAAGGTCTCTGAAAAGGACAGTTGGTCTTTAAAATACTTTGTTTCAAATAGGAAATACTTGTTATAGTTCTAGAAACTGTATTTAAAGAAGTTTTATTAGCCAAGTCGCTGATGGGAAACCTTGGAGAAATTCTATATGGGAAGGGTCTCTATGCAGGAGGCAGAAATTACTTATTATCTGATATTGAAGATCTTAATTCTCCTGTTTTAAGTGCATCTTGTGGATCTTAAAGATGTTAAAGGAGGGTGGATGAAGGCTTCAGAAAATGTGTCTTACAGCAGTCTAAGATTGGCCAGGAGACAAAATAAGAAGTACACCTCCAGAGAATGTATTATTCTTTATTAAAGTTAACTCTTAAATATAGAACTTTCTTGTCATGGCTAAGGTTACTGATATATAGATTTTATATCTGTACACAGTTTCTTAACAAAACCAGCTTTTCTCTTCTGCTAAGATTACCTATTAAAATCTGGTAGTCATGCTGGAATAATGTCAGACACATCTTGTGAAAGACTGGGCCATGAAGGCTAATTAACTAATTTTTTTTCTCAAGCTGGGAGTGACTTCCTGGTGGGAGATGTTAACCTGGCCATTAAATTGTTTTATGCAGTTTGGCTACTGCTCCTTTTAAACAGTATGCTGGAAGTTGGTAAATGAAAACCAGCTATTAATGTGAATGCCATATCTTTAAAAATAAGTTTCTGGAAGCATTTAGTACATTACCATTTGCTAGTAAGATGCAAGAGTTTGGTTTAAAAAGAGCTTTGTCCAAGTTTAAAGCTAAGTTTGGCTAGTTAAGCCTGTGTGGTACTATTCATGGCACTTGAGAATTGAAAATGGCAATTGAAAATAAAAGTGGCTGAAACAACTGTATCACCTGAATTGACTTGTAAGAAGAGTGTTTTGGAAAGACACGGGTTTTTAAAAACTGAAAAAAATAAATGCTATGAGGAAGTTACTTAAAGAGTTACCCTTAAGACTATGTTTAACCATGTCTTAACCCATCTGTAAATATTTAAAATGCCTGTCCTTCCTGAAATGTAAGAAAGAAGGGTTGAAAGGAAATATACACCATATGCTGCATTTTTTTCATCATTTATGTAGTTTAATCTGTTAAATCTTTTTGTAACTGCAAAATGATCCACTTTTTCTGATCTTCAGTCTATAGTAGTAGTAGGACATGTGGTTTTAGGACTTGAATGTAACAGGTGAATTTGTAATAAATAAAATGAATGCAAAAATAGTCAAATTTGTCCTTTGCTCAAGCATACTAGCTCCTGGTAGAATATGCTATAAAATGTAAGACCTCTTAAAGCACTAGTGATCTGTAAAATGAATGCTTGAAAGAGTCTATTCTTCTACTTTGCCATCTGTGCATTTTTCGGTTTGTTTCTTTTATTAATTTTTACTCAACCTGCAGCTTTTGCCTTGGCTGTAAGCAAAGGAAAGCAGAAGACAACATATGGCAAATATTAATTACTTTGTTTATGGTGTTATTGGATGTAGTTGCGATGTGATAACAGGGTTGGCAATGTGGGGACTGGAATCTTTCCTTTCATACGAGATGAATTCTGCCTGATTTAACAGAAAATTGTCTGGTAAAGTGGCCTCATTTCTTTGAGGCTCCCTGAAGGTTTAAGAACCTATGTTAGAAGACCAGCATGTCAAGTGAAAAAAATTCTAAGTGCAACACACCAGAAGAATGTGTTACTTAATGATCAGGTCTGACTTCTTTATAGTGAATTCTGAAGACTGCTGGAAAACTGCCATATTTTGGAGTGGTTTTGATTTTGAGAGGGTTCTTTCTTCTCTAGTAATTGAGCACTATGTAAAGCAAATAGTTTGTTGATGTGTTACTGGTAATAACTAGAATTAATGTACATATACACTGACTTGGTTAGTCAAGGTTCATAAATTCAAAAAATAGACTGATGTTACGCTTAGAAACGTTGTTCACTTACAATAACTATAAAAGCTCTCTTTCTTTCCAAGGATTCACTTCGGTATGAACGGTTCCATGTGCATTAACCCTGATGGAAGCAAAGACAGAAATGGAGTACTTCCAGTTTTGGAGATACAGCTTACAGAGGATACTGTTTTGTTTTTTGATGTGACAGTAGAGTATAGGTAAAGCAGAAACTAACCAAATTAAACAATTTGATTTATTTATTTTTATAACATTCTTTTAAGAACATAATGCATAATCACACAAAAATTGTTAAGTGCTTGGATGCTATCAAGACAAAACTTTTTAAACATATATTTATTGGTATGGTAATTTAGTTTTGTTACTTTGTATCAGAGCTTACATACAGTTAAAGTAATTCTAAGCTGTAGTCTCATTAGATAGTGTCAAGACTGGGAATGAAAGTTTGGTTTAATTCAATCCTTAGAGCTGAATGCTGAATTCCATTGCCCTTTACTTTCCATGCAAGTCTCGCTTCCTTAACAAGAGTAAAAACCTGTCATGATTACTGGCTTCAAATTTTTATGCTCCCAAGGTTGGGTTTTTATTTTCCTTTTTGGAATCAAATTGGTATAATTGTTCTAATTTACATGAAGTGGATCATTATGTCTATCACCATTGTACTTCACACTGCTAATAAAAATTACAGCAAGCTTGATTTTAAAGTGTTTGAGGCTCTTGAGAGAAAAGGAACATGTAAATTCAAATAACATATATATACGTGTTTAAAATTACAAAACATAAAAGCTTATGTAAGTCTGAGACTTCTTGTTCTTACTATTTTTAAATGATTATACTTAACCTAATAAAATAAAAATGTATCTTAAAAATATAAATATATATATAGTCATGTTGTAACTACTAGGGATAAACTACTACTGTATATATATTATATATAGTAGTTTATTTATCATTATTGTGGTATATTTATATATGCAAAGAACATATATATATCTATATATATGCACACACATATAATATCATATTGTAACTACCGGACCGTGTCACCAGTTAGTTATATTTGATGGTCCAAACACAGGGAGGGGTGGTTAATGTCATTTCTGTGCCTCTTCTGTCACTGGTATTTTCATGGTTTCTATTATGTGCATATAATGTTCTATAATACTGTATTGTGTTCTTTTTAAAACCATGCTGCTATATTGGAATACTTTTAAAATAAAAATAAATCTTAATGAATTTTTTCTCTTCCAGAAATGCAACCGAGTGTGAGCAGAAAGTGAGAATGATGGAAAGCTTGGATGTCTGTTCTCCAAAGTTTAGCTTTTCAAGAGCAGAAAGTGAGATTAAGCAGCACAAAACCCGCATGTTGTGTGATGTGTTACTGGATCAAGCAGTATTACCTGGAGTGGGAAATATCATAAAAAATGAAGCACTGTTTGATAGTGGTCTTCATCCAGCTGTTAAGGTGAATGAAATGTCTCAAGATGGTTTTAATGACACCTAAGCATTAAGAAAGAGCCTCTGATAATGGGTCGTATCATAATTCATGAGGAAATTAGGAGGGAAGTAGGAGTTGCTAACTCTACGTGATTCATGTGATCATTAACTCTTTGGTCAATAAAGGGAAGACAACTGAGATTTTTGCCAAGTCTTTCGCTTGGATGAGGGAGTGCACATTGTTTGGTATGCAAGCAGTGATTTTGTGTGGTATAGAATGTGAATGTATAGAATGTGAACATATACTGTTTTACTGAGATGATACAAATAATGTGAAGTCAGAATTATCATAACATGAAGCAATGCAATTCCATATCAGTGTTCAAAGTGCCTCAATAGGTCTTTTTTCTGTTTTCTCTTAGCATTGTAATATTCTAAAAATCATTCTTGTCTTTCTTACAGGTTTGCCAACTGACAGATGAGCATATACGTCACTTGGTGAAAATGACACGTGATTTTACCCTGCTTTTCTATAAGGTATCGGCACATGTTTCTCAGAAGCCTCCAAAACGTGACTCTGGCTCGTGACTCAGCTGTATGTGGTCATCCAGTGGAAAGAGTAAAAAGATGCAACAGGACAAGTGTTTCCATGAATAGGAATGTTGAATTGTGTGCTCTTTATTATTTGTGAATTGTCAAATAATGAAAAAGTGGAGGAGTCAAAACTGTCAAAGTATGCATAGGTTGGCCCAGAAGAGTTTCACAGATGTTGCCTGAAGCCCGGTTCAGTTTTTCTGTGTATGTGCTGTAATGTCACTCTGAACATGTCAGAATTGATGTATGTTAAACACAAACTTACATGTCGGATAACATAAAGGTCAGTCTTAAAACTTGGAACTAGAGATTGCCCCAGGGAATTATGAAGGTAATTCATGTGACTTCCCTTATGACACTTATATAGCAAGTATATTTATTTGACTAAATAGATTATAACTCCTAACAACTTTTTTTACCTAACTGAAACAATGGTTTTCATTGCTAAAATGAAATAAATTACAGTTTCTCCCTACTGTCACAACTTCAGTAGGATTTAATTTCTTCCCCTGCAAAGTCTCTAAGTCCTCGTTGCTCTTTAACTTTCCACAATAGAAAAAGAGAGAATTTGACCTAATCCTTCTACATTTTATTTCTTTAAGCTGCATGCAAAGAAATGAACAGCAGTGGTGAAATTCTTGTCTCTTTCTCTTGGTCTTCCTCAAAGCAAGGAGCTAGTGCTGCTAAAACATCTCTTTTTGGTAGGTTAGGAGGAGAGCACCTAACGTTCCTAAAAGTGTCTTTCAATCATGAAGGTGAAAAATGTGATTTGTTTAATCAATTAGTCTGCTTAACTGTTTGCTTTCCCCCAACCCACTGAAGAGTCCTTTTAGGTTGTTAGCTATGGAAATCTTTTCTTTCTCCAAACTTCACAGTGAAGTCTACCAGTAAAGAGACAGCATGTAGTTCTGCAACAACTATAATACTAGAAAATCTAAACGTGTCACAGGCTTTTAGACTGATAATAAACAAATCTTAATAAATAGTTAAACTTTCTGTTGCTCAGTGTAGCCATTTTTAAAACTTTTACAGTCAACACTTAGCAAGTATTCAACAGCCAAGTGCTTTTAAGAGCTAGCGTCTCCTTCTAAGTCTCCTTAAAATACATAATGAAAATTATGCTAATTTGTGAGGCATAGTGCTTAATAATTTTCTATAGACTGTTATAAATTGTTTGTACTAATCATACTGTATCATTACAGATACAAAGATGAAAAATCTTGTTTATGTAAAAAGCTGTTGCTTTAGTTTGGTTTTGACATAACTGGATGGGAAAAAAACTACTCATAAGAAACTGACTGTAAACCTTGAGAAAAAAGCAAACTGCTTGTGAATATTCCTGCCAATATATATTATTAATTCCTTCTGATTGAATTACTAGGTTGTACCGGCACGAGCACTCTCATTCAGCAAGGCTGATGAATAAAAGCACAGCAGAAGCAAATATGCTGTGCTCAGGGACACCTGTACTTTGGGAGAACTCCAAGAGTCTTCATACATTATGGAGCTAGAGCTATTGAACCCTGCCAGAGCTGAGCCTGTACTGCTGGGCCAGCTGTGGTATTGTTTGAACTGTGCCCAAGAAATTGTTGTTGTAGTGCAGAAACTCGTGTGGCTCTGCAGAGTTGGCTGAATCTCTACTGGGCTCTTGCTTAGGTTTTTAACACTTTTTAGCTATATGAATTCTCTCATGAGATGTGCCTGCCTGTCAGCTGTCTGGAGACTCTTTAGGCCACTGTGCCCTTGGGCTTGTACTGTACTTAATTTAATATGACTTTCTGCCAGGATCTAGGGAGCTTACCGTACTGCCAAGTGGCTTTGCATGAGCCAAGTTTTCTGGCATGGCCAGGGCGAAGATGAAGCTGAGGAACTTTACTGGGCACTACCCAACATTTACAGAATCCCTGGAATATTTCTGCATTGCACAATTCTATAGGTTTTGGGAAGGCGGATTGACCCAGGTTGTAGCATCAGGTTTGATGCTCTGTGGTGTGTTTTTTATTCCTTTGGTGGTGAGGGAAGGTGATACTGGTTTTGTGGTTTATCTTTGTTTTATTTTTGTTTTCTATGCTGCATTGATTGGACCTTATTATCTCTTCAAGAACACTCCTACAGATGCCAGGTCCAAGACGACTGGTGCTAAATCAGAGCTGGTCCAGCTAAATTCAGGGAGTTCCTAGCATGTATTTGCTTGCACCATGCTAGTATGGTTTTTTTTTTGTCTATCTTTTATTCCATTATGTGGAGAATTGTAGACACTTTTATACCTGATTTGTCAATTTTTTTACATAAAATTATATGAAATACAGATATAGCCCTTATGAGTGTGCCTTAAATATCTCCATCTAGTCATTGAGTTGTCAGTTTAGGTAGGGTTCTTTTTATTTTAGCTTCAGACTCACATAAAATTTATACTGAGTCTCTAACATGAATTCATACGTGTTCTCTTTTAGTGCCGCAAAACCGGGTCCCCCCTCTACAAACACTACAGAGTGTATAAGCGCCCAGCCTGTGGTCAGTGCAGTGGGAACATCACTGTGTGTCGTTTAGGAGAGAACAACAGGATGACTTACTTCTGCTCCCAGTGTCAAAAGGCGGATCCCCAGCTTGTCAATCCTAGGTATGATAGTAAATTTGTGACACTTTTAAGCACCTCAGAGTGTTGCTACAGTAAGAGAACATCTCTTTTCAAATGGAATGGATCCCCATGCATTTTATAACTAAATAAACTCTATGCTAGATGAGGACAGGGCACCTTGCAAAAGAAAAATGTTTTGTACACTGGTATTTAAAAATGGTTGGAAGCTTTGCTTCTTTGATACTATTTCTTTCAAAAGCTCCATCTGTCATGAAGTAACTATTCCTTTAATCAAATGTAGGAATTTGATTAAAGACAATTCATAGTATTGAGAATTATTTACTAAAATTAATTCACTGGAAACGTTGCCCCTTGTTCTTGGTGTTATCAATATAGTGGGCTTGGATGTTTACATACAACTGAGTTGAATAGCATAAAGCAGGAATTTGTGTCTCTCTCTTTTCACAGGATAGCCCCCTCACAACTGTGCATCTATGAAATTTTGTTCTGGCTTTAGAGTTATACTATATATACTGGCTATAGAGTTATACTAAAACTTCAGTAAATTCAGAGTGCAGCAAATATTGTAGGGGCTTAGAATTTTTTCTTTTCTTCCTCCTTACTGGTTTTAAAAAGCTTTTGCTATAGGTGTGTCATAGAGGCACTTTCAGTTCCACATAAATTGTGCTAGCAGCAGCTTTCCTCCTTTTATTTCAGGAAAGCAGAAAATGCATTTGATATCACAAAGGGTCAAGAGGTAGAAGTTCCAAAAGCATCTTATTCAGGCTTAGATACCTAAGTTATTCTTGAAAATTTTCATCTGAGGCTTCAGAATTTTGCCTTTTTATACTGAGCTCTGTCAATCTAATATAAGATACTGCTTCACTTTGCAAACTTTGCCTTCGTTAGTGTGTGTGTGTATATATATATATATATATACATTTTTAGATAAGATTTACGGAACACAAAAATCCCTCTCCTAGCTCCAAGCTTCTTTTAAGACGCAGATGGCCGAAGGGATTTTGGTTAGAGCTTAAAAATCACTTTTGAGTACAGATCAAATATAGAAAATTCCAGCATGGAAGATAAATATTTCACATGCTGATAACCCCAATCTGCTGTATTTTTAGAAAGTAATAATGAGAGATACTTTGCAGAAGGATAGGAAGACAGCAATGTTCTGTTGAGTCAGATAATGAGAAAACGATGCAAGGAAAAAAGTATCTCTCTCTCTCTGTTCTAGAACAAGTAGTGATTTGGGGTTTTGTTATTGTATTTTTAAATAAATAATTGAACAGTACTGTATTTCAGCGAAAAACATTGCAATGATAGTTATAAAATGCATAGGTTGTTTCTTGTGTTGTCTTTATCCTAATGGTCAGGTCTTTGTGTTCTACTGGTCTTTTTTCAATTATGCAGTAACCATTACTGTGTAAAAGTATATGCAGCTCAAGTGATTTATCTGCTATTCCAAGCTTTTCACATTTGAAGACTGGAAAGACCCCATGTGATTAAACTGACTCTCTTCAGATCATAAACTGTAGAATTTAATGCAGTGGTTCATGGGTCAAGTCAAGTAGCTTATGATTTTGCTCAACTGAAGAAATGAAGAAAATATCCATTATAAGCTTACCTCCTCAAATTCAAATGTACCTTGAATCCTAAAAATACACTTTCCCCCCATATTTCATAAAATAGGAAGGGACTGTGGGGGGATGACAGGAAGTGACAGATGGACCAGTGGGTCAACATGGAATTAAACTCCAGAATATGACATGCTGAGTATATTCAGTCTAGTAAAGCATTTTTGAAAAGTGAGTAGAACAATTGATCTAATAATGTGAAAGTACCCATTTTAACATTTAGAGTTTGGTTGTTTTGTTATCTAGCCACAGTATTTTGGTGAATGCTAGTATAATGTCTGTTCTACCTCTTGACAGCACAGGATCTCTGGTATGTCAGCAATTCTCATTATCCTCCTTAGTTTTCCAGTTGTGGAAGACATGGTAGGTAGTGGATATCCCTACCACTATCTTAGGAATCCAATCTGATATGGAGAGTGATAATTATGGGAAAAGTGGTAGGTCAAGGGAGTGTTACACATATGTTCCCAACTACAGCATTTGCATTATTAATGAAGTGCCTAAATTCTTTGGATTAAAAGAAGTTTCCAAAAAGGTCACAAAAGCTATGGAGAAAAACACTTGACAACTTATCGGCCATAAAGTTGGTTGACAATGTAGTACTTAAAAATTTAAATACATAACTTAGTGAACAGGTTCAAGTTACATTTAACATGCTGTCAATGTTTGGATGTAGTGACTGCAAAAGAGTAACTATGATTCTAAATCAGTGTATCAACAATTTACAGGAAAATCAATAGAACTAAATATTTAGAGGTACCTGGAGTGTGGGTTTGGCTCACAAGTCACAGCTAGGATCCTTAATTCTGAACAGGCTCCTACATGTTAAAAGGCTTTCTAGCAAATGGTGATAAACAAGAGACTTTCTAACTTTTAAGGCTTTCGGTGCTGTTGGCTGTTATGATAACAAAGAGGACTTATGGATAACATTTAAATGAGAGCAAAAAAATTAGTTTGCTAGATGGTGTAACTTTCTGCAGTTTGGTTTCTAAACAGTTCTTCATCCAGTAATGCATTTGTTAGTAAGTGTTCTGTACAAGGGAGCAGGGAAAAAGCCCTGAAACAGTCTCCCTTTCTCATCAAGTTTTTTGCTGCAGTACTTGAAAATGGTAGGGAATTTGAGAGGCTGGGGCATTGTGTTGGAGAGTACATCAGTTAATTATTAACTTTCTGTCCATTTCTTGTTTAAATATTTTTATTTGTATTACTTCTGCAGCATCTGGAAAGATTTGTCCTCGAGTTAAAGAAAAAAAAATCAAACTTGAACCATGACATGCTGTCCAAGCTATGATAGACAGGCATAACACTCTGTACTGTTTGTTCTCTGGCCCTGTGCCTCCCCGCACATAGTGGTGTAAGGCAATTTGTAGAAGGAACGTCAGAAAACACTAACATCATTCTTTTGTTTCACAGCAAACTGCCAACTAGAAATAGCCTAATTGGCTGGGCATATGGCAGGGGGTCATGTTCTAATGAACATGTAGCTCAGAAATCTGAAGAGGAGTGGACGTGTATGCGCTGTACCCTAATAAACAAGCCTTCTGCTGAGATCTGTGATGCCTGTTTGACTTCAAGGCCTGAAGGTACTGAAGGGTCGTCTGGCATCTGTGCTGGGAAGGGGGCGAGGACTGTGGTTTTGATGTAGTTTTGAGAACTGTAGAAGTGTCTTATTGTGAATCATATTCCTTTAACATAAACTTTAGCTTATTTGAAGTCAGATTTGGGAAATCTTACACAGACAATCATGGAAACTGTCTTGTCTTACACCCTAAAAGTGTCTTCCAACTTTATGTGCAGGTGGGATTCTGTAAATAAGTCTCTTCAGTGACCCTTTGTTTTTATCGGGACAAGGAGTGAGACACATGACCATACTTTCAACTCTTCTTAAAATCATTCAAAGTTTGCTGCATAAGTCTGAATGAAAAATCAACAGGGGGCAGAAAAGTAACTATTATTCTTTCACGTGAACAAAAGCAGTATATTTTGGTACCCTTTTCTAAAAGGATGTCAGTATTTTAGGGGCTAGTGTTTTTCCCTCCAAGTTCAGAGTGAAAATGATTCTGGACTGCTTACCTAAATCTGTTGTTAGTCTCTTGCTGGATCTTCTAATGCTGTTAGCTACATGAAGTATTGCTTCCTTGCTTAATCCTTTTATGAATGGAGTGATGTGTGTGAAACTCTTATCTCACACCAGCTAAACTCCATTTCCTCGGGTCACAAATCAATAAAAGTACATCATTGTGCCTTATATGACAGTTTTTGCCAGCACAGGCTAATCTTGCATAATTCTTCTGCAAAATCAGCACCAGAAACCTCAAAATTTTAATCTGTTCCTAGAATCAGATTTACCAACTAACATTTACCCTGGAGTTAATACTGTCAGCTGGATCTTAAAATACATAATGTCATGTGCACAAATGCTTTATTTTAAGCTTTGAAACAAAATCTTATTCCTTCTCCTGGACTTATAAATTATGTGAGTTTCACTTGTTCAGTTATATACCATTACTGAAAACAGGCCTGGAATTCGAAGATGTGTTGGACCTGGTGGAATGCTGTTGGAAAAACTCTTTTTTTCTTTTTTTAAAATAAGATTCATTTTTGCATCATAGAAGTGATATTTGAATTTTTTTCATTAAGATGGGCTTGCTTACCCCCCTTTCTTTCAAACCTTAAGATTTCTTGCCTTCTCACTTTGTTCGGTGGTTGTCTTTTTATTGTTATAAAAGATTATATTGAAAAATTAAAATATTTTTATCCCTGTGATTTTATAAGGTTAATTGTCCGATAGTTTTCATTAACAGAGTACTATTAACGTTTGGTCCTATTTAAGCAATAGTGTTGTTATCTTGAGACATATTTTATGTGCCTCCAAAAGTGCATGAGCATTTTTTAGTGGAAGAAATTTGATACTCTATCTAACCTGTGACAGATCTTTCAAGATGGTATTGTAAATTTACTCTTTCACTCTTCATATGATGACTTATGAATACATATCAGAAATATAATGTCTAACTCTATGCAGATGGATCATAACTGTTAACTTCTTTCCTTAGTTCCAAAGATGGAGAATGTTGAAGATTCTGCAGCCTTTAACATAAACTTAATGAAGTACCCTTGTAATGAGTTCAGAAAACCAAGCACAGAAATAAAGATCAATAGGAGAACTGCATTTGGAACTACAACCCTTGTCTTAACAGATCTTGGTAACAAAGCTGTTTTGAGAAATGATACCCAAATATCTGATGGGCACTCTCAGTCTGTTGCTCCAAAAAGCAACTGTAAACAGATCCAAAGCAATGCCTGCCAGTCAGAGGGAAGCACAGGCAAGAACTGCTCAACACACGTAACTGCTATGGCTTTGTCCTCCTGTCAGCAACCTGTCCCTTTCCAACACATACAGAAGAAACAGAAGATTGATCATATACCCTCAGTTCACCAATACAATATAGCAGTCAGGTATGTATTCTAAAATAAAAACAAGCCTTTATAATCCCATAAACAAACTTTATCCCTAAAGATTAATGGAATACTGTGCTGCTGGGCTCAGACAGTGTTGTCTTTGGATTTCTGCCAGGGGTAACTTATTCTAGGCTAACTATAATTTAACATGATTTCAAAAGCAGTGAATGACCTAGGCTGTCACTAGAAAAGTCCTGATTTTGGCATCTGGCCAGTACTGCTGTTAGCTAAACAGGTGTTCATAGTTCAGCTATTCCTATGGAATAGTGCAGTATATCTTTAATAGGTCAACAAGCACAGTTCTACCTAAGGTGTTTTTTGATCTTAACACTGTAGTTGCCACTTCTTGGAGAGATCTTGAAGTCATTGTGAAAGATTACAAAAGGAAGCTAGCTGAATTTTAATTACAGTTATTTGTCAACTACCGGTTTTCAACATTTTTCTGTGACAGCAAGCTCTGTACCAGTGCCTTGATGAACTTTCCATCGTTTTTACTCTTAACTTTCATCCCTACTTTATATAAGCACTTTAATGCTCTACGCATCCTGAATTTTTATTTACACAGCCCTGTTCAGACACATTAATTGCCTAGTTAAGAGAAATGTGAGAATCTATGAGGGTTGTCAAGGAAAAGTTGGGCAGACATACACAGCAATAATGGGAGTGCAAGGTAGATGTCACTTACAGTGGTAAATTATGCAGGCTGAATGTGAAATATTGATGATATGCTACAAAATTCCTGGTCATGTGTCTGTTCTGAAATACAGAAATTACTTTTTGCATTGTTGAAGCACCAGTTTTGAAATGGGATCTCACTGGCTAGCCAGGCTAGACTGTATGAATATAATTTCTCCTTGCATTCTCAGCAGAGGACTATTGAGGATGTAGGCAGGATAACTGAGAGTTCAGAGAAGTGCAAAGAAGAAATGAGACAGTATCAATCACAAAAACAGGTAGCTGCAGCAAGTCATTAACTTAAATGTTTTAAAATTCAAAAACAAACTGAAAAAACCCAACCAAAACCAACAAAAAAATTGGCTGTTTTTATCTTCTTGTGTTTTAATGAGGCATTGGAAGAAAACTGCTGATGTCTGCAAGATTGCAATCTTCCAGACATAGAAGAGAACATAAAATTCCTAAGCTGATAACTTGAACAGAATAAATTAATATTTTCTTTTTTCACTAAGTTCCCATCACTGCTTTTCTGTTCTATAAATATATTGGAAAGATACATTTCAGAGCATTCATCTGTTTCACGTTACTGTTTTTAAATAAAGTCTTGTGTATTGCAGTCAGATAATCTCTGATATTCAGATAATCTCTGACATTCAGATAATCTCAATCATGAGGAAGAAAGAGAGAAACTTTATCCCATTCAGGCAACTCTGTTCCATCCCCTCACCTGGACTACTTCTTATCTAAATACAATTTCAAGCATTACTGTAACTTTTTAGTAAAGAGGGTGGGAGTCTTTTCTATGAAGCATACAAATGCCTTCAACCTGGAGTAATGACTTGGTATTGGTCTTTTTCCCACCACTCTTTTAGACCATGTCAGAATGTGGAGTGGGGAGTATAATAGCAGTTTTAATATTTATTTTGTTTTGTAGATGAATTTGAGTACTTCAGAGTTATTTAAAACATGGTGGGGAGAACTGAAAGAAAAGCTCACAATCTTGTGTCTTTACTCCTAGCAATCATTCAGCTTTAAAGATGCAATAGGGTGCATTAGAGAAGCAAGCTTTTTGGCTGTCATTGTGTGTAAAAGAACACTGTAAAAGAACAGTGTGTAAAAGAACACTTCTTCTACACTGTGTGTAAAAGAACAGTGAGCTATTGTAATGGTAGGAGAGAATTCTTTGGCTGGTAACCCCTTTAACTTCTCACAGGAGTCATTTTGTAACTTGTCATTACAGTGCACCTCAAGCTAATGTGACAGGTGATACTCGTACATTAAGCACGGGCCATCCTCGCTGTAGCAAACACAGCCGTCTCTGCAGCCTCAGAGTGGTGAGAAAGGATGGAGAAAACAAGGGCAGGCAGTTTTATTCCTGCCCTCTACCCAGGGAAACTCGGTGTGACTACTTTCAAGTACGTATAAGACTTAGGGGCTGGTTAGCACTGGTTCCTGCAGCCTCCTTGTCCCAGTGATCTGTAATTGTGGACAGATATATTCCTTTTAAAGTTTGAGGTAATTCTAAATACTTTCCCACACTGAATTGAAACTAAGACCATAATGGTAGTTATAAATTTACAGTTTTAGTTACTTCTCTTACTGTTGAAAAGACACTTGCTTGTGCAAATGCTCCTAGTCTGCTTCCGTGTGATGTAAACCAGATGCACAGCAGAAATATTGGTTTGAAGGGACTTGTACAAGTTGTGCAGATCAGCTTCTTGGTCAAAGGAGGACTATGGCAAATTAGATCTAATCATCAGCCATGTTTCTGTCTAGCCAAAATCTTGAAAGCCTTTTAGGGTGAAGATTCTATAATCCACCTGGGCAACTACTCCCACTGTTGCACTGATACCTAACCTGACCTTCCTAGCTGTAATTGGTGGCTGCTGCTCCTTGCTATTTATGTATGTGTCTGAGAAGAGTTTGACCTGGTAAGTGACCTGGCAGTCACTTACTATCAGGTAGTTTATAGATGAAGTTAAGTCAGTAATGACTATAAGGCCTTACTTTGAAGAAAACTATGTGTTAACATCAATTAAAGTTGCACCAGTCAACGTGTGTGCAGTTGCAACTGATGATAAAGAAAAATCTAAAATCAGTGATCACAAAAGAGATAAAACTATCCTAACTACTAGGAAGAGTTTCTTCTAGGGTGGAATGCCTTGTAGATATCTTTCTATTGTCAGTTCTAGAATATGAAATTCATAGCCATCACATGTGTCTAAAGCCTGTTTCTTTTGGCAGTGGGCCGACTTGGATTTTCCATTTTGTAATCATGGTAAGCGATGTGTTATGAAGACTGTGTTGAAGATTGGTCCCAATAACGGAAAGAACTTTTTTGTGTGCCCTCTCGGGAAGGAAAAACAGTGTGGCTTCTTCCAATGGGCAAAAAATGGGCCAGGTGTGCAGATTCTTCCTTGATGCTGATGTTATAGTTATCTGCTCCTCAGGATGTCTTAAGTGCATACAACTTTTGTAATAATTTCTGTTTTGTTTTGACTTTTTCTCTGTTCACTGGTTAATAAGTAAAATAGCTCCAATATAAAGAACAGCAGATCTGGAAAGAGTAATTTTACATAGTCCTATAAAAATTTAACACTGCTTGTATGCCGCCTACAATTTTGAAATGAACATTTAGTGTGCAATATATTGTGACATATTGTTGTTTTTCTAATAAAAAAATGTAACTGTTTTCTTCTTTCATGTAGTGTGGACTACTAAATTGGTAGACTTTATCATAAGTGTAAACATGTATTTAATAAAAGTGAATAAAAAGATTATATATATATATAATTAATACCACTTCATGCTTTATTTAATCAGAGATTAAAATGAATCAGCAATGGACTGTACACTTCAAATGTTACAACAGTTAATTGTCTGACCTTGCTTAGATTTGGAAAACAAAGACAAAAACCTACCTTAAAATGAAGAACATGACTTCTGTTTTCTAAATTACATATTCTAAATTCAGGTCTGAATGTTTTATTGCTACTGAACATTTTTGCTCCCACATCCATGTGTAATGAATAATAAAATATGTCTGAGGTGGTTAAAACTCAGTTTATGTTTGTTTGTCTTACCACTATTTGTTGAAGCAAGGGGAAAGTTAAAAAACTATGCAAAGTTATCAAATGAGAAATAAAGCAGAAACAGACCTCTTCACATCTTTGGTGCATGTACTATAGAAAACAAGGAAAAGGAGACTAATGAAGATATGGCCATAGCTTTATAGATTATTGATTCATAATCAGTTTTTAAAGAATAGTAATGGGAAATAGTGTTGCTCCCCACCAAAAATGGTCTGGACAAAACAGGTTTAAAAGCATCTTATAAATGGTCCTTCAGTCTATGGTCTATGTAAATACTTCAGAACTGTTCCTTTTTTTTTTTTTGAGAGGGGAAGGACTACTTGGATCTCTTGAGAAAGTTGTGGAACTTCAGTCCAATTTGAACCTTCCATTCCATGGTGAAAGTGGAACTGTTAAATTCTTCCCCTATTCGGCACAAATTCAGAGGCTTTTTTGTTCCTCTTTTCAGTAGCCTTTGATACTTTTGAAATCTTTTAAAACTTTCCTCACATGAAGGAAATCTTTAAGAAGGTTGTAGAAACTATACTACTTATATTGCTCAGTGGACTGTTTCCAAATATCTCTTTCATGAGGTATACAACTCCACCAGAGAACAAAACAAGCTACTGCACATGGTGACTACTGATTTTTTTCCATTGCCATCTTTCTGTATGATGCTTTTTGTTACAATGATGTGTTGCTGCTAGCTTGTGCTTATACATCTAAATTTTAAAATTGTTATCTAACCAATTCCTCCTTGTATATGTAGAATTTCTTACACTGATAAAGTGTTTGATTATTTTTAAATTGAACATGCTTTTGGATGTCTTGTACGGGGATAAATCCTCAGTAGTTCAGTTAAACTTGAAAAATAAAAAAGAAATACAACCATTTTTGATTACTTACCTTCCACAAATATTAAGATTTCACTAAAGCTGTAAGCTAAATGACTTTTTCAAACTTTGACACTTGAAAAATAATGTTTAGGTTATTACATGTTTTTATTTTAGTTTAATAGCCAGAGAAGAAGTCTGTTTACATATAACACATGTAAGTTTTAAAGGATTAACTGCTTTTATTAACTACTGCAATATTTCTTGAACATGTTATATGTTTGGGGTTTTTTTTTTTTTTTTTAAATCTGTTTGGAAGTGGTGGTATATTTGCATCAGCCTAATTTTACTATATGCTATATATCCTAGTTGTATAACATCACAAAGAGAGAAAAGGCAGATGGAAATAACAAATGGTAAGGATATGCTGAGCTTATCACTCAACTAGCATCTGGAGGAATCTGACATGTTTACACTTAAGTGAAGTAGGAAACTGAGCAAGAGACAGTGAATTCTAATTCACTAGATGCCTCTACAGACCTTACTGCTTTTGCAAATACTAGGGTTTTTTTGCTTTTTTTTTAGCTTTTGTTTTCTCTTTCTCTTGCAGTGGACAGCACTTTGTAACTTGCTTAATAAGCTATGGCTGATAGCTGGTTATAAAAAGTTCTAACCAAAAAGAGCTGGCAACAAAACTTATCTTGGAATAGATCCCCACTCAACCTTTCAAAAACCTTTTGCAATCAAGGGTGCAAAAAAAAGTAGGCAGTTATTGAAAAGATCTCTTTTGTTTGCTCAGGATAAAAGTCCTGATGTTCAGCTTTTGTCCCAGTAGTTTACAAATGTTTTTATTTTTTCATGTTGATTCATCTCTTACAGTGCAAGTGATGGAACACACTTCTTTCAGATTTGTATCTGGCTTACACATTTTAATGGCTCGTGTTGCACTCAATCAACTGCGAAGACTAAAAAGAATAACAAGACCTAAGTTAACAGAGGGAACTGTCTATCCCAAACATTTTCTGTAATTTATATTCCTAACAAAAGCACATGTAAATTGCCTTTAAAGAAATACAACCCTTTTTCAAGGCCTTAGGGTTCTGACAAAGTTGTTACTTTGACCTGTACCCAAAGACAACTAAGAGAAATGGGATTATTACCAGTGTCTACAGGAGGCTGTTAGGACTGACAGGCTCACATAAGCTCCTTTGAGTCCATGGTTTCTGAAACAAGGTCGTGATGGCAGTTCTGTAATATAAAGGAGACTTTCAGTAAAGCTGACTTCTAGTACTCTTATGTACAACTTTTAGAGATTTTTTTTTTTAGACATTAACACTACAAAATGATAGCATGACTCATAACAGAAACCTGTCTCTCACCTTGAGCTGAAAACACTTTTTCTGGTTTTATATGCCACAAAACTAACTTCACAAAGCCCCTGCACTCAGCTGAGATGTATGCAAAACAGTTTTTTGGCAATAAAATCAAGGTCACACAAATTGTGAAGTAAAAATTTTGAACTCAGAAAATGTTAATTCCATATGCCATGCCCAATTTCTGGTTTATGGTAGCACTTCAGTTACTATTCCAGTTTAAGTAAGTTTAGGCAGAGTATATCTTTCAGTTCAAAACTAATGTTTATTTTCCTATTTGTGCCATTCAGTTTAGAATCAACAGATTTAATACCCGGTTTCATGTCTTCATACCCTTACTTAAAGTACTTTTGTAAGCAACTATTTGTAAAGACAGACATGCATTTTTCTTAATCTATACATGCACAACTAACATTTGATGTCAATGCAAATTCAGCAAATAGATGAACAGCATAATACTTATATTAGTAGTTCACTGAGGGAGAACTAAATTTACACTGAAAATATGCACTCAAGTTTTGAGACGTGACTATGTCACAGCTGTGACTACAGACCTCTACAATTATACACACACAACTATTTCTGTATTCACCTTTCTGTGTAAAAGGTTGCAAGTTTTCACTTGTTTTTCTGGAATGGAAAACATAAGTAAGAATCTTTTAGATTGATGGTGAAAGAAGCAGAAGATGCCATCCCTTCTTTGATATCTGTATGAATGTTCATCATTAGTGGCTAAGCATCTTTCACATGAAATCAAAAGGTATTGTAAAGTCTCTAAAAGACTTCACAGCAACTGTGAACAAAATCTCTGAACAAAATTTCTCAAATCATAAGTAATTCTATACCAACAAAAAAACAAAGGCTGTTGACAAAAAATAAGAACTTCAGGATGATCTTAAACATACAAATAAAAGCTTTGAAATGCCTTTAGAAAAACACTCAAGTTACGAGTTACAAATGGAAGCTAAAATTTAAATTTCAATTTTAAATCTAGACTACATTTGAAGAGCAACTTTGCAATATAAAAATTAAACTCATTACGATAGCAACACTGCAGAGCCTATGAAAGTGAAACAAACATTTAGCAAAAGTTCCATTCAAGGCAAAGTTGCTGGTAGAGTTCTTAAGGATGGTATTTTCAGGTGAAGTGGTCTTGAGTATAGCAGTGTAATTTGCTGTGATTGTAAATGAGAACTAACATGTAAGTTGGCTTTGTAGATGAACAGTATAAAAGTAAAAAAATACACTCAACACTAGAATGCACAAACAAGCTTAAAATCCATTTGTACAAACAGGAAATTTAGAAAATAAAAAATGCCCTTACCATTATTTTTTTCTTTATCTTACTGTACACATAGAATATGTAGTTTATCCTTTGCTTTCTCTGATAGCTCATGTTACTTGCACTGCATTTGCAACTTCTCAACTTCTTTCTGAAGTTTAGCTATTACCTAGTATTGCAATACCATACAACTTCAACTTGAAATCCGTGCAATGTCTCATGGTACATTTCATCTTCACTAGTAAAATAAAATGTAATTATTTTTAATCTGTCTAAAAGAGTCTAAATAGGAGAAGGCTTTAAAAATACAAAATAACCACCCTTATATAAAAGCAGCTTTGCAGCAAATGCTTTTCTTAAAAGCATGAACTGACTTCAAGTAGACCAGAACAAATATATTTACTATTATCATATTACAACTTCTCAAAGTTGTGTTTAAATAAAATTGAATTCTCTGATTAAAAAAAGTGAGCCATTTTTTCCCCCATATATTACTAAGGATGACTATAAGTAATCCACTGTCAGATGCTAAAAATAGCAACTATGTTGCAGAGGAAGTTCATAAGAAGGACAAAAGGGTTTGGAAACTTACCTTTGAAACTTTTATATCTTTGTGAGATATAAAACCACTAAAAAGAAATTAGAAGTCAAAAAATGAACCTAAACACACACACAAAAAAAAAAAGGTTTTCCTTTTGCAGTGGAAGTGTACTAAACACGTAGTCTTGACACTGGCTACTAAAGGTTCTTGGATTTCCACAGAGAGCAGTACAAAGATCGGGTGATCAAAGCAAGGTGTAACCATTCAAAGTATCCCTCTATAGCCTGACTTTGCATGTTCATACATAGCATTGCAGAAAGAGCCATAAGCATAAAAGAGACTTTTGCCATAGAACTATTCAGGTATGCAGATAATACAGTACCTACAGAAGTTTCAGCTATTTATATTTTGCTAATTGTAACTTATTGCAAATAAGTTCAATATCAAAATAAAAGGAGAAGAGCAGTTATGGGACAAAATAGAAGGTGGAATTCAGCTGGGGAGAATAAAACCATGACACGATAGTGCACATAAGGAAGCCAAGAAAAAAAAAAAAAGTGTCATGATTACTAACCTTTAACTTTATATAGCAAATCTCAGGTCACTATGTGATGCTAATTAGAATGTAATAAATTAGGTACTACTGAACTCAGTCCCTGATACAATTATCAGCTGCAATTCAAACAACCTTTTTTAACTCCTCACTGCCCTACACAGTCTAGGCTTGGGTGTTATCTAGAATACATTACATTCAAATTTAGTTTAAAGCCTTATTCATTGCACATGATGGATTAGCCTTATTTAATTTATTGTTATATCAACACATGAAGCACTTGAAACAATTAAAGCACTTGAACTTTGTTACTTAAATCTCCAGAAGCCAGATAAAAACCTATGTTAGATATATCCATTTAGCTGTATCTGCTGTGAAGTCTTTAAAATTAACACAGTATGCAGGACTG